TCTTGTGTGAGACCCATTTGCACATCTTACCTTGAAACAAGTACAGAGAGTGAATTTGCTCATGCTGCCCAAAGGGAAACTCCTTTTTGGTACAGTTTGGCAAAGGGGACATTGAGAAGTGATTGCATGTATGTACATGCATCAAGAGCAATTCTCTGTACTTCCTTTAGCAAAAAGGATCATTGTTTTTTGGGGCTAGCAAGGATGGAAAGCAATGTGGCCTCTTGCAGCCTTCAGCACTTGCAGATGTTCTTAATAACTCCCCTGGCTCGCGAGTCTTTCTGACATGGAGCGCTAACAGCTTGCTCCTGTGGCTCCTGTGCACTCTTTCAATGATACCGTTGTCCCACAAAAGCAGCCTCTGAGTTGTTTCTTTTTGCTTGCCTCGCGTAGCCTCATTCACACTTCACAAAACCACTGGATAGCTCTGTTGGACAAATCTTGCCTTTCAAGAGGAGCAGCAAGGGCAAGAAAACCAGCTCAGTTTTAAGGCCTGAGCCTTATCAATTAAATGCGACAGCCTGTGATAGGGATGACTTGATTCAGTGACTCAGCTGGGTCCTTTCTGGACCCATGGTCCTAAGCTCAAGGAAAAACTTGGTCGTCAGAGCAAGATAGAGCATGAAGGGAGGTTAAAATGCACTGTGACGTGTTTTGTGGGCTCTCCTCTACCTTGCTTGCATTCCATTACTAACTTGTCCTCCACCGTTTTCATCTCATTTGCTAAATCATCTCTTGCCTGCGTCTCTTCATTCTTTACAGTTTGATGTTTATTAGGCCAATAATTACTCTCAATTCAGTGTTTATGAACTGCCCCTGGTATTTATAAACCTTGGTGGCAGCAGTTTGACAGTTGTTCTTAGATGTCCAAGAGAAAGTCAAAGCTGTTGACATAAGTAGGAGTCATGAATTCTGAATGTATAAAAATCCTGTACTGCAGTTTGCACACTGTAGTGAGTGGTGAGGAGGAGATATCTGTTAGGCTTTGGGCCAGTTGGTTATTCACATGGCTCATTTCTGGGAGGAGAATAGCTTTAAAGTCTGTGTTTCCCTGCAGCAGCTGTGGCCACGCTGATGAGAAAACAGGGCAGTTTACACCAGCTGGCTGTGGTGAAGCTCAGCCTCCTGGTAAGTCACCTCAGCTCCCCAACAACTTGGCCACCCAAGTCTGCAAGCTGAGAAGAGGTCACAAATGGAGAGGGAGACAAAAAATGATATGTGTGTGTGGGCTGACATTAAAAAATAAGTGAATAATCCCTAGATCATTCTCTAATTTAATTATCATCTTTAGTTAGCTTCACTGCAAAAATGTAACATGAAATGTCCTTGAATTGCCAGCCTTTGAATTTGACCACTGACACATTTCCGTTCCTCGCCTTCTGTTCTCACCATGCTCACACATCGCAGCACCTTGTGATGTGCTCAGACGTGGATGTCCGGTGGGCAAACCATGCCCAGTGGGCCAAATCATCCCTACCTGAAAAAGCACGACCCCGTTGGCAACTTCGTTGCTGTGTTAGGAGTATACAGAGTAGGATTTACCTCACTGAGCAGAAACAAAAAGAAGATATTTGAGAGTTCTCATCCTAGTACATTTCTCTGGTAACCTAAAAATGCCACCAAATATAATTGGAGTCTCAATAATGTTTTTAAGAGCTGGCAATCTGCAATAAAACGACATGTTTTATGGGGGACAAAAGTACTTAAGATTTTTCACATACATTTATACTGTCTCCTTGTATGTAGGTGTATTCACACTTAAGTGATCAAAATTGGTGTATAACTCTAAAACAGACTAAATTATGTAACAACTGTTGTGATTTCAAGTTAGGCTTAGGTTTAAACATTAAGAAAGTTTCTGAGCTAGCTACTTAAAACTTTTGCTGTAGTGCAAGTCAGATTAAGCCACAGTTAATACAAAGTATCACATACATAGGTTTCTGTTACAATTTTATTTACAAACATTAACTTTCGAAAAGCATCACATGTAGCAACATTTAAGTATTGGTCAGATACAAACATAAATTCTTTTAATGAGGTTCACTTTAAGAAAAACTGAAGAAATGTTGAAATAAGCAATAATTCTCATACTTAAAGTTGCTTTTAAGAAGGAACATTAGGGAACAAGGCGGAAATAGCACTTATTTCGATGTAGCTTTCTGGGGCTAAATCAGCTGACTAGATGGTTCAGTTGCTTCTAAATCAAATACTAGGTTATCCCTAACGCTCAGGTATGCTTTGAATACCATCATGTGTAAGTCATGATTTTAAGAAGCACGGTCAGGATGGTTCTCATTCCATCTAAAACAGTTTAATGTTTTGAACAATTTCTAAGATGCTGTACATTTGTCTTATGCAGGTCGTTGTTCATTGTCAACAGTCTGTGCTTTTGACAAGCAAAGAAGAAATAATAAGCAGTCCAGATGTAGCCAGTATTACTAAGGCACCTAAACTGTGCTCATAGAAGTCATACTGTGCATCTGTAGATGCACTGTGCTTCAGAAGGGGTTGTTGCATCAGCTTACTGAACATATTTTAATAGTATTTTCTTTATGAAGTTCTCTAACATAATAAAAAATGCAGCTGAAGGGTAGTTATAATCACTCACTGTTCTTTTACTCAGAGATGGTTCACAGCTAAGACATAAATTAAAATTTAAGACCAACTTTCCCTCGAGTCATTACTCATTTGGGGAGTGCTTTCTTTTCAAGAGCCCAGCTATCCATCAGTGCTTCTGTTATGGCTGCACAGCTCCTTGGGTATCTACAGCCCTCCCATTTTTCAGTGTAACTCAGTCCCTTTTCTAGAGTCAGTGAATAGGGTAACACAAGAAACATGGTAAAATGGGAAATCTAACTGTGACTCTTGGAGCTTCTCTCTAGCTGTAGGCCCACTGGACTGTTCATGATCTTTAAAGGGAACCTGTGATACCTGTTGTCCAGAGCTGTGGTTAGCCAGAGTTGAGTAAGAATGACAGCTACCTTCTTGAAAAGCATGTTGCAAGACCTGAAAGTGTTCTATCTGATACTGCAGTACAGTGAGAGTACAAGCTAACAAACTGCAATTTAGCTCTTTAAATAAATGATCTTGGATTCCCCTATTTCACCTGACCAAACAAAATAAACATGTTTGCAAACAAATCTCTCTGCCTGCCTTACCCCTTCCCGCGCCTCCCTTGCAGAGTCAGGCATCTCTCCAGTTTTGCACTCCAGCTGCTTTCAATGTCTCTCAGCACTTACTAATCCTACATGGTATTTCATGAGTGAGGAGGAATGCCTCTTTGTCTACTTCACCTCTGAAGTTTGTCTCTGGGTCTGTCCCATGACAGAAGCAACCCCACATTTCCTCTCGGGACTATCCCAGGTCACACTTGTGCCCCACAGTCACCCACCCCCCATGCTCATCTCTTGGTTTCCTCCCCCTGCCCATATGCAGGTTGTGCTTTCTTCCCTTTGAAGGGCAGCAGCCAGGATAAAAGGGAAGTCAAGTAGCCTACCTTTCTACACTCTTCTTTCCCATCTCTTTTTAGCACAAAATGTAACTCTGGTGGGTTGATCTTGACTGACTGACAGATGCCCACCCAGCCGCTCTCGTACTCCCCTTCCTCAAGGGAACAGGGAGAAAATAAGGTGGAAGAGCTCATGGGTTGAGATAAAGACAGGGAGATCACTTACCAATTGTCATCACAGGCAAAACAGACTGAAAGTGAGGAAAATTAATTTAATTTATTGCTAATTAAAAGCAGATTAGGATGGTGAGAACCACCCCCAGCCCCCAACCTCCTTTTCTCAGGCTCAATTTCACTCCTTCATTCCTCTACCTCCCCCTCTCAGAGCACTGCAGGGCAATGGGGGCTGTGGTCAGTCCATAACAGCTCCTCTCTGCCGCTCCTTCCTCCTCACACTGTTCCCCTCCTTCAGCGTGGGTCCCCCACGGGTGGCAGTTCCCATCACGAGAGCCTGCTCCAGTGCGGTCTCCTCGGTGAGCTGCAGGGGAACCTCTGCTCCACCATGGAGCACCTCCTCCCCTTCCTTCTCCCCTCACCCTGGGGTCTGCAGGGATGTTCCTCACGCTTTCTTCCTTGCTCTGAACTGTGTGGCACTTTTTTGCCCTTTCTTAAATACGTTTTCCCCCGGGATGCCCCCACCCCGGCGGAGGGGCCGAGCCGTGCCCTGCGGTGGGTGGGTTGGAGCTGGAACCAGCTGTGTCCCCTCCCCGCACAGGGGCTGCCCCACAGCCCCCACCATGCCTGCACCTGGGCACCTGCACCACTGCCGTACAGTATGGATACTGTAAGCTGTGGATGGATAAAACAGTCCTGCAATTCCTGATCTTCATATATTTGTAAGACCTGAGACTATGTGACTTTTCAGAAAAATCTGACCGACATGAGACACCTGAAAGTTAGTTGCCTGTATGAAGTTACATACAGTGGCTTTGCCATGTGTAATGTGGAGGGAAAGCTCCTTGAGAGCTTGACACTGTTGTTGAACTGAGTCAGAAATCGGGACAACTCGTTTTTTTCAGATGCCTAAATTTTAGTTGACTGGAGTGACATCGGTCCCAACCTGGTATCTCATGATGAACACTCAGAATCAAAGATTGCTCCTGAAATTTAGCTGTAAAACTTGCTCTCGAGTGCTCTGTGTTGTACAAAGCAGATGTACCTCTTTTTCTTCACTTTCTGAAGATGAGTGGAGTAAGTAACTTGAGGGTAAACCGAGTTTTTGATGAATATTGTATGTGCAGTTTTATTTCAGGTCCGCCGAAGGCGTCGGTGTAGCCTGCGTGTGTTCACACGCCTGCATGCCGCTAGAAATGCTTGCACCCAGCTGTAGCACTGCTAGGTGACTTTGCCCATCCATCACTTGATTTGGGAAGCTCAGCACAAGCGGTGCCATCCGGCCTGAGCAAGCGGATGTGTTGTGCGCCCTGATGTTGTTCTGGGACGAGATTAATTTCAGCACGCTCATATTAATCCATTATATGTCTCTTTCCAGCACAAATGGACCCCCGAGGCCTATCTCCCAGACAAATTAAAAGTGACAGTGATGATGACGACCTGCCAAATGTGACCTTAGATAGCGTTAATGAAACTGGATCTACAGCGCTCTCCATAGCCAGAGCAGTACAAGAGTAAGTATCACATTCCCAGAGCGAGATGAGTGTTGCTGAGGAGTCCTCGGGCCGATGGAGGCACTGGCCCTCGGCGGCACCGCAGGGGTGTCCCCCCCCAGCTGCGGGTCGGCATACTTGCCAGCATCTCTTCTGTGTGGCTTTGTTCCCTTCAGGGAGAGATGTCTGTATCTCTCATCTCTCTCAGATAATCTTTTCCTTTCTTTCTCTCTGCCCTCATTATTAGCTGAAGTCTCAAATTGAAATTGTTTCTTCCCCTTTATTTACTTGCAAAGCTTGCAGTGTTTTTATGTCCTCTGTAAAGGGAGACCAGGTTAGATTTTCACTCAAAAAACATAAAATTTTTTATTGACTGAAAGCAGCATCAAGACGTTCATTCTAGTTGCTGTCAAATAGGAACTACGTATGTTTTTTTCTGAAGGACAGTGTCACTGAAAGACAATTAGTGAGGGGCTTTGAACAGTTTTTCCATTGCTGTTATTTTTCTGTGTACCTTCACTCACTGGACAGACAAATATGTTCTTAATTTAACGTCTGTATTGCTTGTTTGAAAAAAAACCCAAAACAGTTTATCATGAACATTAGCAATTCTGTAGATGCATGAGCTTGCTCAGTGACTGTAGCAGCTGGAAGGGAACCAACTGTGAGGTAAATAAGTATTAATATCCCCATTTTATAGGTGAGGAAAATGAGGTTATGCATAAAGGTCACCCTGTAGGTCTGGAGCAGAGCTGGAAATAGGACTAGAGCCTCCAGGCACTGAAGCCTGTGCTAGACCCACAAAACACATTACTTTATCTGAGAGGTTCAAAATATGAGCATTCTGGGCATTATTAAGTAGTAAGGGATATAATAACAGGCCATTACACATTGTTATGTAATTTATTACAGATGGATTTTAGATGTCTTAATGTGATATCTAATTATATTTGGCTTTGTTTTCCTGGCCATCAGTAGCCAAAAGCGCTGATGTTTCTACATCATGTTTGAGGAGGAAGTACTTTTTTTGCATTTTCACCAGACATCTGCTAATTTGTCTTGTAGTCAAGCACAGTAACTGTGACTCTCAAACCTATATTCCCCTTAAGCAGAGAGGGAGGTCTCTGTGGACAACACAGGGCATTGGTTCTAGCTGTAATTGGCATGCTCCCCTTCCGACAATGAAAAATGAAGGGAAGATTTCTTCACCAGTGACATTATTGCTCGATAGACAGGCCTTACAAGTATTTTGAATTTGCTAGTTACAACACTAGGCCCTGAAGTGCTAAGTATTTTTTTCTCTGTTTATAGCACACATAATAAGCCAGAAAAATAAAACAACTCATCGTGATTTTGCACTGAATAGTTCTGTCTAATTAATTAAAAGAGGAAGCATGGGGATCTAGCAAATATTTCTCATGTATGACTGGCAGGCAGATACTGTTCTCTGTGTTTGATATTGCTTGAACACTTAGAGAATTGGTCAAACCATGAAAAGCTTTTTTAGCTCTTCCATAATACATTCCACAGTTTGTGAAGGTAAACGTGTTGAATATTACTTGGCTGGCTCTGGAGCTTAAGAATTAAATTAAGAAATTTAATAATATAACATCAACTCATCCTTGTTACAGGTTTTATTTAAACAGTAATCTGTTAGTTTATTTCAAAAGCCCCATTAGGAAAATCTAATTTGACTGTGATCTGCAATTTGTCGTCGTCTTTATTTCATTCTCAGTCACAGATACCACACACATGCAGCTGCTGAGCTGAAAAGAGATGTTAGCAAATTATACTGACTTCACTCAATCCATTTCTTTCTCAGGCAGGCTCTGTTGTGAATTTAGGCACATAACAGGTACCTTAATAATTAGACATCTAGCAAAGCTAAAAATGAAAGTAAAAGCCCACATTCTACATACCCTTATTGCAGAGAGGAAAGTGCCTTTGAAGTCTTCCAAAGGGAGATCCTGTGTGCTCTATTTCAGCATCTAAACTTAGCAGACAGGAATTTCCTCTGAGGACATGGAAAGGCACCTACTGTTCTGCTGAATAACTGGGCAGCGTAGGGGCACGCACAGAAGGACTGCTTCAGTAGGCATTAAAGTGTAGGTATAAGCTAAGTGCCTAAATGAGGCAGACTGGACCCCAGAGTCTAGAAGACTGTCCCACAGAGTGTGTTCTTTCTTAAGTGAGCTTGTAAGCTCTTTCATGTGAATAGTTATACAGTTAACAACAAAAAATAACTTCTTGCATATGCTGTCTGGGAAGTACAGTACAGCACCCCCAAAGGGATGGCAGCATCTATTCCTCCAGTACCAGATTGCTGTTTTGCAATCCTGTCTTTGTTAAAGAAAATACCAAGCCTAGATTATAGATGTTTTGTGGCAGGTGCAAGACAACAGTTGACCTTTTCCTGTTTGGTTTTCAAACATGTTTTAAATTATCCTGCATAAGGATTCTAAATATATATATATATATATGTATGTATGTATGTATGTATGTATGTATATATAATTGTCTATTGCCACCTATTCTCCAGGAACAAAGGGATTTCAAATACCCTGTGGTGGGTGTTTCCTTTGGATTGGTCCTGTGCAGCCCTTCACACAATGTGTGGGGCTGTGGGTGATTGCCTTGATGAGGCTCCTGACTTTCCCTGTGTGTTGTCTGTGGGGTTCAGGATTTGTCTTGCCTAGTGTCATGGTTTCAGCTGGGATAGAGTTAGTTTTCTTCCTAGTAGCTGGTACAGTGCTGTGTTTTGGATTTAGTGTGAGAATAATGTTGGTAACACACTGATGTTTTAGTTGTTCCTAAGTAGTGCTTATCCTAAGTATTTTTCAGTTTCTCATGCTCTGCCAGCAAGCAGGGGTACAAGAAGCTGGGAGGGAGCGTGGCCAGTACAGCTGACCCGAACTAGCCAAACTGTACCACAGAAGATCATGCTCAGTGTATAAACTGGGGAGAGTTGGCTGGGAGGGGCGGATCGCTGCTCAGTCATCGGTCAGCGGGTGGTGAGCAATTGCCTTGTGCATCACCTGTCCTTTCTTGGGTTTTGTCTATCTTTTTGTTATATTCCTTTTCATCATCAGTATTATAATTACTATTGTCATTATTATTTTATCATTACTGTTGTTATTATTGTATTTTAGTTTAGTTTAGTTATTAAACTGTTCTTATCTCAACCCACGACTCTTACTTTTTTTTTCAATTCTCCTTTCCATTCCACTGGGAGAGAGGAGGAGTGAGCAGGTGGCTGTGTGGTGTTTAGTTGCTAGCTGGGGTTAAACCACAACATCTAGTTAGACATCTGCAATGTAGGTATCTCCATCTGAGCTAGTTATCTCTCCTCCCTGCATACAGCCCAGATAGCAGTTGGCGTGTCCAGGCGGTAATTCTTTTGCTGTCTAATTTAGGGAGAGACTCGAGCCCATGAGTGCCCGTTCCTCTCCACTGACTGCAGGCAGTGCAGACAGCTGCCTGGGACACACGTGTCAGCACTGCAGATCTCTGGTGTGAGGTGAGGGTACAGAAATCCATGGTGCCTGACTGGGGAGTCAGTGTGCCAGAATCTGGGAGTGACAGGATGATACTGAGTGTTCCAGCATCTTCCCTTGGATCTAAATCTGTCAGGTGGGGTTAGCAATGCCAAGGTTTTAACCACAAACTGAAGGAAATCAACTAGGCAGTATTTGGGGAGGAACTGTTATTTTAATGCAGACATTTTTAAGCTTGTTGTCTTGGAAATTACTCTTACGTAGCTGGGTCACAGGACAGTTTGGAATGTCTATACGAAAGCTTTGATTTTCATGTCCTCTGAAACTGGAAGGCATCTGCTTGTGTTGCTGCTTTGTTTCAGGTCCAGTATAGTCTTAGAAGAAAAAAATTCTTACCAGTAAAAATTGTGACAATCACACACTAGAAGCTACATGTTTGGCATTAGTTCTTATTTACTTAAATAGAATGTAATTTGCTTGCATATTTGTAAAATAACTAAGTACAACTACTTTTTCTCAGGGAAATTGCTTTCTTGCTGCTCGCTTTATATCAGCTGAGCTTCCAGACCTCCCAGTAGTTCTTTTGGAATGACTTCATAGTCCTTCTTCAGTTCAGCAAACCCAATCAATAATGTAAAATTATACATAAACAAAGTCATTATTTCAGGCACGGTACTTTGGTGAAATTTCTTTATGTGACAGTGCTGCTTTATGTCAGTGGCTATGCCTTACCATAATATGGACTAAAAATAATTTATTAATCTCAGATAATATGCTCTGGCTGATAATAAATGTTGCAGCAATATGTAGATTTCAGTGGGCTTTGCATTGTAAGCAGCATTTCATCCTTTTTGTAGCGTGTTTTACAAACTCATTTTGGCATGTAGCTCCCTAACAAAGAGTCGATTTGCCTTTATGTGCCTGACACCACTGATGCTTATTACACAGCAAGAACAGCATCATATATTCAGGGTCAAATCTCAGATACAATCTAGAAATCTTGATGAAGCCAAGGGAAGAGAAGGCATTAGTCAAGCCCTAGAAGACCAGTGAAACTTTTTAGGGGCCCCTCTCAGAGGCAACATGCTGTTCCCTCAGCCTGGCAGCCCTCATGCAGTGGGGCTCAGGAGCCATCTCCCTGGTACATAGTAATGCAAACCTGGAGCAGGGCATTCATCTCCTTTCCCTGCACACTTGCACAGTAAATACGTTATTTTACAACATGCAGCTCTCTGTCCCTGAACACATACAACATAAGGTCTCCTACTGGCAGATGCTGAGGGCAGAAGTGGGAGAGGCAGAGGGTGACTTTTAGCATGAACTTTGATCAGTGTATTGGTAAAAATGCAAAGATCCAGAAATTCCTCCTTCTCTCTCTAGATTTTTCCCTCCTTGGGGTTTGTAGGCAGAGGGGAACCCTGTGGTTCCCTGTGTATGTAAACTGATGATGCTTGAGGTAGGATCTTATTTTTCTGGACTAATGGAGAGGCAGAAAATTCAGAGAGGAAATCCTGAATCCTTGTAGTT